ATTTTTACACAATGAAAATTTATACAATTGACTACCTTTCTAGGAACTTTTGGTTTTTAATAGATTTTTCCAGGTTGATTCACAATCACTGAGAAATGTCAATTCGTCGTACTCGTACTAGGTTATTAACTTATCTTCGGGGTACGTTATTTTTCATATACAACTTTGATTTTACTTTGTTAATTTGTTTTTTAGGCTTGACATGTTACATGTTACTTCGACGACTGCCAAATTACTACTCTCTGTTGTTTGGTCCCGTTCCTGTTTTTATAATAACCTGGACAAATGCTCATCGTTGCTATGGCAATTGACGTTTCTTTGAATTTGTGAAAACTTTGCCTGGAAATTTTGGACTTATGCTTGTTTTTTTTGGAAAAATGATTATCATTTTTGGATTCCTTGGCTTATAACGAATACTTTGATATGCAACATTATATAGTACGAACATTTCCTAACCTAATACAAATTTTCACATATTTATGCAAATCTCTCAAAAAAANACCATATATAAAGGGTGTTACAAAAATTTGGCAACCGAGAAAAGTACGTTACAGTATACATCTATTCATCCAGTCCTACTTGTCCAACTTGTTCTACCCTCTCTCTACGTCTTTCCTGATTTACCTTTTAACTGATAATTTTTGTGATTGCATCGTCCACTGCATTCCAGTTTGCTTCACTAACGAGCATCATTGCTATGATATTTTCGGGACTTATTTGGGCCCCTATATTCACGTTTAATTCCATTCTCGTATGGAACGATCGGGGACACGCGAATATCGTATGCTCTACCGTATCGTTTTCCCCACAAAAATCACAAGCAGAAATCGTTGCCTTCCCTATCTTATGCAGGAAGGCTTTAAAGGCTCCATGTCCCGTTAAGGCTTGAGTCATGTGAAATCCCAACTGTCCGTGCCTTCTGCTAATCCATGGCCGAAGTGTCGGGATTAACCTTCTGGTCCATACCCTCTTACTTTGATTTGCCCATTCTTCTTGCCATTCGTCTACGATCTTTTCTCTTTCCATTTTCTTAGCCTGCTCCTTAGGCTATTCACTTTCCCATATCCGTTTCCTTTCCTTTACGAGAAGATGGGTAGGTACTATAGACGCTACTGTCGTCACCGCTTCAAAAGAAACTGTCCTGTATGCTCTACTAATTCTCAGAGCAATTTTTCGTTGAACGCTTTGAAACGCCCTTTTATATGATGCTACTCCCATTACATTCGCCCAGACCGGGGTACCATACAACATAATCGATTGTGCGACGTAACCCAACATGCAGCGTTTTTTTCCCCTGGTCCACCTAAATTTGGCATTAACCTACTCAGTGCCTTAACCGTCGTTTCTGCCTTCGTAGTTACCGACCTTATATGAGGACCAAATCTTACTGTAGAATCCAGCATAATGCCTAAGTATTTCAGCGTGCTGCTCTGTTTTACTGGTTGTCCCAATACTGTAATGTTTATATCTTTCGATATCTTAAAATTATTGACTCTGTATTTTCTGGGGCAAGTTCAAGATGATTTTCATTTAACCAGTTTATTACCATGTCTAGCGCCTGTTTCAACTTTGTAGCGAGTGCATCCCAGTTTAGATCTTGCCCTATCAAGGCCACGTCATCAGCGTAGCTGACTATCTCCACCCCCGCGGGGAGCCGCATGTTCAATAGGTCGTCATATATTACATTCCATAATGTCGGTCCTAAAATGGACCCTTGTGGAACTCCCTGATTAACTTCTCTGGCCGGGCCCCTAGCTCCCATTATTATTCCTCTGTTGGATAGGTAGTCAGATATTATATTTATTAAATAGATCGCCACTCCCTTCTGCCTCAGGGCATCTAGTATCCGTCCCCAATCTGCGGTGTTGAAGGCATTCTTTACGTCCACCGCAATTACGGCACACCATTCCGAAGGAGTCTGTCCAAGAAGTTTCTAAAACCTGCTTCACAGCATCGATGGTGGATCGACCTTTACGAAAACCATATTGCCTTTAACATCTGTTTATATAGCTTACCTAAGGAATTAATCAACCATATAGGTCTGTATGCCTTATCTTGATTTCCATTTTTCGCCGGTTTCTCTATCAAAACTACCCTACTTACTTTCCATATTTTCGGGAAAATACCTTGTGTTAAAAGACCATTAAGTATTTCCACTATGAAATCCTCAATTGCACCTACGGCAACCTTTACGGCCTCCGCAGGTACACCGTCCGGCCCTGGCGCCTTCCTATTTTTCAATTTTCCTTCGGCTTTTCTTAATTCCTCCACCTCTAACAATGAGATTTCCTGGGGCCTTTCCCTGTGCCATAATCTAGCTGGAACGATCAGGAATAACTTATTTATTTGGTTCCTTCTTTCCTCCTTCGTCAACCTCAACGGGGAGTATGGAACCCTCATGTTCTTCATGACTATCTTGTATCCATCCCCGAAAACGTCCCTATCTAAATCGTTCAGTAGGGTTTTCCAACAGTTACGCTTGGATCCTCGAATACTGTATGTAAGCTCTCTTTTTTTTGTCTTGTAGTCCTCTAGAGCTGTTGCCAGCTCTATATCATCGCCTCGATTTCGCAGCCTAGAGAGCTGTTGTCTCTATGCCATCTTCTGCCTTTAACAGCGTTTACCAGGAGATACTGCGCATTTAATCTAATGGCCGTAGCCTCCGCTAGGTCCATAGTTGCTACACTTCTATTTGTGTTTATTTGGATGAAGTTAAACATTAGTGTATATGAAATATATATAATATAAGACAAGACAACAAAACAATCTAAAAATGTTTCAGAAAATATCACAGTAACTATTCCTATATCACAGACTATAATATCACAAATCGACTATGTAACGCGGGCGGAGCGAAAGTCACTCCTCTCTTCCCTTTTCTTTTTGCGGAGAACCTTAGCCCTACTTAAGGCCTTCCTGAATTCAGGGCATTCACTCGACCCCGCTCTATGGCCTGGCACTTTGCAATTCAAGCATATCAAGTTACTCTGCTCACACTCGCTCTCCTTATGCTCTATGCGTGTGCACTTTCTCAACTCGCCGCTTCTATCCTCCTCCGCTTTACATTCCTTTCTCGTATGACCATAATGCCAACACTTGTAGCATTGTAGTACATTAACTCGTTCCTGTACGATGCACCTATTTAACCCAATCTTAAACTCCCCTTTATCGATGAGCTCATTGAGCTCATGAGGTCATTTGCTGGTGGATATAATGCCACCTTGGCCCTTCCCTTTTTAACCAATCTCTCTCTAATCTCCATTAATCTCGAGAAGAAGTTACTGGGATCTACTCCACTCTCGAGTCTAAATATAATACGATCGCTAGTATTAATCCCTCCTCGGCTCTCCACTTTGGTGCATATGTAGACTTCTGCTACCTCGCCCTCAACATTTTTCAGATCGGGAAATCTCTCCAACATCGCCCTCCTTATTCCTTTATTTATCTTCTCGGTTTCTTCATCCACTAGAAATACTAGATCCTCGTCTTTATTTGATTTTAGTGGGGATCCTGACACCTTCGAGGTCATATTAAAGCTTTCCTCCGGCCATCTCAATTGTTTCAGTTTCATAAAATCTTCGTAGGTTTTAACCTCTGCAACTTACGCCTCCGTTACACTCCTCATCTTAATTCGTATCTCAGCTTCCCTAAGTTGACCCTTCAGTTTCATATTCTCAATTTTAATTCTTCCAATTCCTGCATTACATTGGCTTCCGTAGTATGAGTTCCTAAGCTGTTCATCTGTTTCTGCGATTGAGCCTCCATCCATGTCTCTCTTCCTAGCTTTTGCACAAGCTCCCAATTCTTGTTTGACATCATGATACTCAGTAGACTTCGTAGTTTAATAGCACCATCCTTAATCTCTTTCTTTGTGTTCCTTTCCTTTGCCCATTCTGAGAGCTTTCTTATCTCGCTATCAACCTCTTTCAGCGTTTTCCTAAATGTACGTGCCAGTTTCTCATCACCTGTTACCTCCTCTCTAGACATGTCCCTCACGCCCGTCTCTGCCCTTTTTCTTTTAACGGACCTGTCTTCAATCTCATTCCAAGTTAGGTCGACAGTACTGACGTTTAGTGTCGGCGACGTTGGTGCTGAGACAGCCTCTCCGAATCTCAGCTTCAATTTTTCGTTAAGATTCATTTGTCTGATCAAGCTTAATCTCTTATTGACCTCTTTGTCTATATTTTCTTGACGTTTCTCAGTCCTATCGAAATCGAGATCTTGTCGTTGTAGCTTTTTCTTGCCATGTTCTTCATTTAATTTAATGCATCCTGGTCTTACGCCTTGCCCTTCCATACCGTCTCGTTGTCCTTTTTCCATAGCTTTGGTCAAACGCATGTATGACCCCCCCAGAGTCCATAGAGGCAGCGCCGGCTCTTACCCGATCGGAACCGGCGACGGGATTTAACCCGCCTGAGGTACCATTATCACTGCATTTTCCATTTTCATTTTTTCCACCGGCATTCCAACTGTGAGACTGAGCCAAGGCCCCACCGAACTTTTTAAGGAGGGTGTTTCCTCCAAGAGAAATGCGGCCGCCCGTTGCAGGTCCGACGCCGACCAGAGAGCCGCCCTCTCAGGGTCAGACGCATCACAGCCGAGATGCCCTTTGCTTCCCCCCAGCACCTCGACCAATCCGGTATGGGTGGCCCTACCAGGAGTCACTTGCAAGACTCTCGCCAGCGTAGCTCGAGGGGACGCTAGGAGTACTGTGCCTCCCCACCAACGTCAAGGTCTCGCATCTCCTTGGGGAGGATCATAAACAGTCTTGACCTTTTTTTAAATCCCTCCTTCCCACGGTCTCGGAACCAACCTTAGTGGCATAACATCAAGACCGGGATGCTGACAGTTTCCGTGCTTAAACGAAAAGTGTAAATATCACAGTTCTCATATGATTGTCACAGACAAAAAGAGAAAGGATACATCCAACAAACACGGTGTACAAGAAAAAAGCACAAAAAATACAATAAAAATAAACAAACTGCCAATATCAATCCCTGCTAATTATTTCTAGTACCCTCATGTCTTCGCTCGTCCTGCTCCTTCGTCGTCATTATTCTTGTCATGGCTCTTTCGATCTCTTTCCACTTTGTTTCGCTCTGCAACATGTAATCCACCATGTTGTTAGCGGTGATTACGTCTCCGATGCCGACCTCACACTCCCTCCTAATACCTGCCCATCTCTCACAACTAAATAGTGTATGCCTCGGAGAATCCTCCTCTCCGCAGTACACGCACGACGCATCCCGAGTCTTCCCTATCTTAAACGTGTAGGTTTTAAAAGATCCGTGTCCGGTAAGGGCCTGCGTAGGTGGTAGCTTAAACATCCGTGCTTTCTCGCATACGAAGGCCTCAAGTCAGGAATGAGCATTCTCATCCATTCACCTTTCCTCGCCTCCGACCATTCGCGCTGCCATCTCTCGAGCGTATCCCTTCTCGAGATCTCGCCATAGATTACAGAGGTTTAGATAGGAATCTGCCATGTATTAAAATAAGTATGCGTTTAGCGCCACCTGTGAGATGTTCTCCAACTAAACACCCCCCACCCCACCCATAGGCGGGAATAATAATAATTATTTAATTTTATGTAAATTACCAAATCCAATAAGAAATTAGAACAACCTGAAAAACAAAAATAACATTTATTAAAACAAACATTATTCTTGTTTGCAGGTAGTCCTAATTTCCTTGGATCATTCATTCATGTTAATAAAAGGGACAATTAGAATTTATAACTTCTTTATTGTTATTGTAAAAAAAAAGTACAAACACACTATTATAAGTAGATAATCAGTACATTATATTATAATTAACACACATCTAAAATAAAGATAAGGGCACTTATGTAAGCATATAAACTGTTACATATCGAGATTCCAAAAATTCCTAAAAGTACGCATCTAACAAGTAACCATATTTTATAGTATACATCTTAATTTCAAATTAGTGGTTCAAATATTTTCAAATTTGTGTCATTGTCGACTATTTTGATTTTGTTTACAAGTTCATATAGCTAACATAAAACATAAACGATAATATATATATAATTAATATGTATTATTGTTAGTAGTTATATCTTGTTACAAACAAACTTTCAAAACGAAACTTACTTACATAAAATCAATAACGAAACTTAAAGTAACTTAAAGGTTAGAATTCACATTTGAGTATGCTTTGACTGAAGTTGTGTTAAAAAACAAGCAAACAATTTTGGTAGGATTTTTCTACAGAACTCCACTTGCCTCCCCTGCTCCAGATAATTCAAGTGAATTTCTATTACATATTGAAGATTTACTAAACCAAACTATAAAAACTGACTTGGTCTTCTTATGTGGAGATTTTAATTTTAATTTTGATCCTTGTAATTTAAATCCTTTTGCCAAAAAGTTATGCAATATCTTTGCCACCTTTAATTTGAAACAAACAATATGGTCCTATACCAGGGAAGTAGGTGAGGCGAATTCAATAATTGACAATATCTTTTCGAGTATGGATATTAATATATTGAACCCGCAAAATATAAAATGTGATATTTCAGACCATCATTTACAACAGGTTTCTTTTTCCATTTTTGAATCTAATGTTGTTCAAAAGCCAGACTCTTATTATTTTAAGCGATTAGTAACAATCCAATAAATATAGCATTCTTCCAGCATTTGATAGCAAAAGTCAGATGGGATTTTTTAGATTTAAATTTGTCGCTTGATGAAAAATTTTCATTCTTTCATGAGGTTATCTTGAATGCATTTGATAAAGCTTTTCCTGTGGAACTGTGTAAAAATAAGAATAAATCTCATATGAAGACAAACCCATGGGTGACACTGGAAATCATTAATGAGGGGATTATGTTAAGAGAATTATATGATATATACAGATGTACTAATGATAACGAATTAAAATTGCGCTATAAGACTTTAAAGAAAATTCATAAACAAAAAATTATTGTAGCAAAATCAACATATTTTGGTAATAAGATATTGAATTATTCTAACAAATCTCAAGCAGCTTGGAACATTATTAAAAAAAATTGTAATACTTTAAATAGTAACATTTTTCAAAGCTATCACGATGATGATGGGAACAATATTTCAAACTTACATAAGGCCGCAGATGCATTTAATAATTTCTTTGTCGATTCGGCCATGTGCTTAAATGATGAAAAGTTTCAAAGGGATGTGTCTTTAGGCATCCCTTTTGTGTCTAATTCCATATTTTTGTTCCCTTTTACAGAAATAGAAGTAATGGATATAATTAGGAAAGTTTGCACGAAAAATTCGGCGGGTTTTGATAGCATTCCATGCACAATTCTTAATAAAATAATCTCTTTTATATCCGTTCCTTTGACTAGTTTGATCAATCTATCTTTTACACAAGGATATTTCCCTTCTTTATTAAAAAAAGCTGTAATTATTCCTATCCATAAAAAGAATGATAAGTATTTAATATCTAATTACCGAGGAATAGGCACTCCTTTCTGTATTTTCGCAAAATATTTGAAAGGGCATTTTATTTAAGAATATTAAGTTTCGCAGAAAATCATAACATAATTAATAAAAATCAGTTCGGATTTAGAAAAAGTGTGGCGACACAATATGCAATTTTATCTTTATACAGCTTTATATTAAATGCATTAGAAAATAAAGACAAATGTTCATATATACTATTTGATTTGACTAGGGCATTCGATGTAGTTGATCATACACTTTTGTTAAGCAAGTTAGAAAGGTATGGCATAAGAGGTCCTGCGCAGAACTGGCTTAATAGCTATTTACAAGGAAGAACTCAAGAAGTTCTTTTAAATGTCAATGGTATTCAATATTTTTCACAACTGAGGCATATCCAATTAGGTGTCCCTCGAGGGAGCATTTTAGGCCCATTTTTGTTCTTACTATTTATTAATAACATTGAAATGATTGCTAATTCAAAAAGATTTGTAACAATGTTCGCAGATGACACTTCTGTGGCGGTTAAATCGGAATCTATTGCGGCACTTAGTGGCCTTGCATCAAGTGTTGTGATTAGCATGCAAAATTATTGTAAAAATAATAATTTAGCTTTAAATGGCACAAAAACTGATCTGATCGTGTTCAATACTAAAGAAATAAATTGTAGTATATTAGTCAAATTTAACAACAAAACTATTCAACAAAATACTTCAGTAAAATTTTTGGGAGTCCTCTTGGATTCAAAGTTATCTTGGTTAAATCATATTAACGAATTATTGAATAAATTGGCAAAACATTGTTTTGTTCTTTGGCGTTTAGGCAAATTTGTAGATTTGGAAATCTTAAAAATGTATTACTTTGGTTATGTTCAGTCTAATTTAAGCTACTGCATTATTTGTTGGGGTAACTCGTCACATATTAAAGATTTATTTATTCTCCAAAAAAAGATTATACGTACAATGACTAATTCAAAGGCACGAGATTCTTGCAGACAATTATTTAAAAGATTAGGTATTCTTACAGTTTATTCACTATATATTTTAAGCTGTGTTACATATGTGAAAAAACATTTAACAAATTTCATTACACGCGCCAATACAACTCAGTCTTCTGGCTATAATCTGAGAGAATCTCTTAATTTAAAAATACCCCAGCATCGCCTAACGTTAACGGCTAATGGCCCTTTTATTATGTCCATTAAATTATATAATAAGTTGCCAACGCATATTAAACAGATAAATTCTTGTGTTGTCTTTCGTAACAAAGTAAAGCGATTTCTCTTAAAGAATCCCTTCTATAATATTGATGAGTATATGAGTTGTGTCTTCAATGAGTCTGGTTTTTAGTTTTAATTTTAATTTTTTATTTTAATTTTTTTATTGCAATTTTTAATTTTTTATTGAAATTTTTATTCTTTATTTTTGTAATTATGTTCTATATCTTGTCATTGGTCTATATTTTGTAGTTTGTCCTTATACATTTATTATCTGTTTTTTATTTGTGTTACATACTTTTGACAATTTTCGATACTTTGTGTGAGCAAAGTCTTATGAAATAAATATATTATAATTACAATTCTACATATATTTTCTACATTTTACATTGACTAAACTGGGTGTGCAGTGTGCATACGAAACTTGAAAATTTTGCAGCATAAGTTCTTACCTGTGAAAAAGGAAGAAAATATGATAAAATACAACAGAAAATTATGGACACAACAAAATGGGTCCTCACGTTATTCAAATCCATATATTTATAAATATTTATAGATATATGTTTAAATCAAACCACAAAATTCAAACTATCTGACCTGACACTTCACTGTCTGTCAAACTCAAACATGAAAACAAGGATTAGAATGAGATGGCTAGATGACATAATTTTAGATGAGAGCATCCTCTGTGAGAAGTTCTCCAACTATCAATAAGGGTTCAACTGTGCCCATAAGAGATAACACGTCATGGATCTCGCCGCCTCTTGTTTTGGGAGTTCACTGTAAAATATCTGTTTTCTCTCCTTCGCTACCAGGTGAGCGGGAATCACCCGTGCGAGCATGGTGACAGCGTCATAGGAGACTGTTCTATATGCTCTGTATATGCGCAGAGCGATTCTACGCTGTACTCTATGTAGTACGCCTCTATCCGTAGCCACGCTACCGATCCTAAGATCCTTCTCTTCTGTTCCCTCGGGCCTCCTATATTTGGCATTAATTTACTTAGGGCGTTGATGACCTTATCTGCCTTGGCGGCAGCTGCTCTCACGTGAGGGCCGAAGCTCACTGCGGAATCTAGCCACACCCCTAGATATTTGACACTATCCTGCGTCTGGGTTTGAACACCTCCGTGCTCGAAAGTTAACACGCTCTTCCTTCTGCCGTATCTGAATAATATGGCCTCGGTTTTCCCGGGAGCCATCTGTAATCCCAGCCTATCCATGCGCCGGTGCACCCTACTCATCTTCTCCGCTAGGGTCCTCACACGGTCCCTTCCTGTAAAAAGTTTTCTCTCCGACAGGTAGCTCTTTATGATGTTGACCAGATAATCGGCCACTTCCATTGTTTCTAACGCTTCGATAATTTTATCTCACCTGGCCGTGTTAAATGCGTTTCTTACGTCCACCAAGGAAGTGACACACTACTTCGTCGGAAGTGCCACGATGTGCCTCCCTGGATTCCCGCAGCACTTCAGCGATCGCGTTTATGGTCGATTGTCCTCTTCGAAAACCGTGCTGATGGGTTGACAGATCCCCCCGCGCCTCTATCTCCTCGATGAGCCTCCTAACAATCAGCTGTTTGTAGAGCTTGCCTACCGTATCTAGTAGGCATATAGGTCTATACGCCGGTGGTAATCCTGGCTCTTTCCTAGGTTTCTCGATAAGGACTAACTTAGCCTCCTTCCATTTACTCGGGAATATTCCGTTTGTCATCAAGCTATTGACCGTCCTCCCTGTCTCCAGCCCTATTATCCCAAACGGGCGCCGGAGCAGGTGGAAAAAGTCGATCGACCGTCATCTCCTCCTCCTCCGTCAGCTGCAGAGGTGGGTGCTTTACATTTAACTTTCTGATGACCATTTTGTAGTTCTTGAAGTTCTTCCAACATCTTCTCTTAGAATTAGCTATGGTCTGTCTCAGATCTTTCTTGGCTCGTTTATAATGTCCATGAGCTTCTTCTACTTCTATTAGGCTGCTATTACGGCGGCCTCGTAGCCACATCTGACACATGTGATAGGTTATCTCGCCCACGTTCCTATTTACCCAGGTCTTCACCTCCGGAATTATTCTTCTCGTCCACGCAGCATTGGTTGTTAACCGCCATCTTTCTTGCCATGGTCTCCCTTCTAGCCAAATTTTTCGCCTCTGCGATTTGAAACCCCCTACTTATTAGGACCTGGATTTCCTTTCTTTCCTCGACTTTCAAATCGAGCGGAATCACACCGGCGATCACATTAGCCGCGACGTGGAACGCGAAGGTCCAGTACGCATGCGCGATCCTCAGGGACATCTTCCTTTGTGTCTTTAGCATCCTATCTCTGCGCCTGTTTATTCGAAGCGCGTGAGCCCATGCGCTAGCTGCATACAAAACAAGTGAGTCTACTGTGCTAGCCATCACAGCCCTTTTCTTCTGCCCAGGACCCTCTGTATTGGGCATGAGTCTAGCAAAGGCTGTTGCGGTCTTATCCGTTTTATTCCAAGCCTTTCGAACGTGTCCCCCGAAGGTCATGGAACTATCTATTACCACCCCCAGGTATTTTACTTCTTTGGGGCGATCTCTGAATTCCTAAGGTCGAATCTCATCCCTCCCGACCTTCTCATACCCGTGAATACCACGACCTCCGTCTTATCGACCGCCAGCTCCAGGAGATGCTGCGTCATCCATTCGTCCACTGACGCCATTACCTTGTTCGCATTATTGACCATCTCGCGCTTGGTTGTGCCCGTGACCACCGCGGCCAAGTCATCAGCATAGGCCATCAACTTAGCACTCCCGTCTGTTACCACCGCCAGCACGCTGTCATACAGGACATTCCACAGGACAGGTCCCAAAATTGACCCCTGTGGCACTCCCATGTGCATTTCCATGTACGTATTCCTGTCGACGATTATCCTTCTGCGATGTAGATATGCAGCCACTAAATTGAGCAAGTGTTTGTCCAGTCCGTCGTGTTAAAGGCATTCTTGACATCGAATAAAATCAGAGCACACCAAAGATTCTGGGAATTTACCCTCTTGATCTCCTCCACCGCCATCGTGAGAGCATCTATCGTCGATCTTCCCTGACGAAAGCTAAATTGATTCGGGTGCAAGTCCCCGCATCTAACCATCTCTTTTAGTCTCTGGAGTATAACGCCTTCATATAATTTGGCCAGACTATCGACCAAGCAAATGGGTCTAAAAGACGAGAGTGTGAGGTCTGCCCTCCCCGGTTTAGGTATCGTAACCAGTCTAGTGTTCTTCCATGCAGATGGAAAGTCTCCCCTGCCGAACAGGTCGTTCAACAGGTTTCTTATAGCCTCTGCGTTCTCCTCCACGATGGCCTTAATCATCTCTGCCGGAATGCCATCTGGACCGGGAGCCTTTTTGTTCTTTAATCTGATAACTGCTGCCTTGACCTCTGCCGTCTACAAGTGTAACCTAATCTAACCTTTTTTTTTTCAGAGGGGAAATTCATCATGAACACCTGGGCTTAGTGTCTATCGCCTCAGGTAGTGTCGGACTCCTACCGGCTAAAACCCCTCCATCTCGCCCCTTCGCAGACCGGAAACACCTCACGGTTTGCGTCAATCTGCCTTGTCTAATAACGACCTTACCCCTGCTAGTAACCCTTTTACGGAAATCCGATTCTTTGCAAGTCACGACTGATAATTATCCTGTTAATAACTTCCCAATCTGCTTTACTTGCGAGTAGGCTTACCATGAAATTTTCCACTTCCAATTTCCTTCCCGTTGTCCTTTCCAGTAGGGACCTGTCACTTTCCCATCTGCCGCAGTGTATTAACGTGTGCTCCGCTGTATCTATAGTTACTTCACAGNATATCGTACAATTCCGAACCATGCAGAAATCTCATAGATATAAGAGAGAGGGTTCGATTCAAAATATCAAAATGGTGCCTTGAAGTCTCAAATCTCTTATATACAGCGAAATGTTTGGTTATTTAGAAGGTGTATATCATGAAATTTTACACTCAAATGATACAATTCTAGACCATTATATTTTCCATACCATTTCAAGCCAAAATATACAATTTTATCAAAAGTTGCTTACAAAACTCAGCCAGTGCAACGCTGCCAAGTTTACTTTAACAATTTTTTATGTATTACATCAGAAGAGTAGTTGTAATAAATACCCAGATAAAAAAAGAAACACATTAAGGTTACACATTTAAATTTTTATTGAGATTGATCGATTATAACTTTTCAAATCAGAAACGTTTTGACTCTGAAATAGATTCTGCAGACACCAACTACACTTGAATACAACACTCGAATATTAACGGCACGTTTCGACGATCAAGTTGTCATCATCTGGCGATGATTAAAATTCGAGTTTTAATCATCTCGATGAATGTTAGAAATACGAGTGTTGTATTCAAGTGTATCTGGTACTTGTGGAACCTATTTCAGAGACAGAGCCACACACTGAAGCTTCCAGCCCCTCCAGCACGTTTGTAAATGAATTTTTGTTTAGTTATATTTCAACTTCCCTGTGTACATGTTGTAAACCATGGCTTTAATTGACGTCCACTTCTTGTTCTCGAATATTTTAGGATAAAGATTCACAAACTCGACAACTTCATATTGTTTCGGAGATTTATTTTCTTTTATATGTTGGGAAAAATGTTCCGCTACCATTTTCTTTTGTGTAGCACTCCATGTTTGTCTATTGTCTGGTATTAGTTTCTTAGATTTAAATTTGTGAACTTTTTCTAAGTTTCTCTTTTCTAAGTCATTTCGATCAATTGGGTCCAAATCTATTTTTTTTGTTATGGTTTCATTATCATAAATAGGGTTCAGGTCGATTTGAATCTCATCCAATGTTTTTCCCCTGAATTGGTCAGCGCCTCCCTCCATCATTAACATCAAGAGTTTAGAGACTTTTGCTGTTTGATAGATTTTGTCAGACATTCTATAAACATCACAGTGGGTTTTTAAAATATGTCCCATAAATTTGCTTAACTGCTCCATATCATTATTTGAAAATTGGAGAAGCTGCGTAATTGTAGCCAGATGTTTTCGGAGTCTTGTGGCTGTTATACTACCGGGTCTCTCCACTCCGCATTTATTAACATATTTATGAAGAACTTTGGTTCCGTCAATAAAGCCTTGACCACTTGTATGGAACACAAAATCATTATCAGCTACAAATTTACTTCGTATTTCTATAATGTAATCAAAATGTTTTTTCATTTCAGGTGATAGTAGGACTGGAACGCCCCTTCCACGTTTTCCCCTAATAACGAAGCGGCTATACGTGCTGAGTAATATTCTTTCTGTCTCAGTTAGACAATTTTCGAATTCATTGGTGTACTCATTTTCTAGATTAATCGACTTAAATGTTTGTACTTTTAATTGAGCAACTTCTGCCGGCCGTCTCCTATTGAGAAAAATGATCTGAGCGTATAACACTTCTTTCAAAGTATTATAGGCAAATGTATCATTTTCGTTAATTTTCAACTTATTGAATGCTTCCTCTGAAGTTTTTTGTAGATATATATTAAGTTTTTTTAAATCACTGGTAAGTGGCAATAACTCTTCTTGGTTCCATTTATTCTGATTTAAATTCGTACCTGCCTGTGCCGAAACTTCATCTGCCCATTGAGACTCTATAAGTCTCTTTAAAATCTTCAAGTCTTTCCTGTGTTCATTTGTGTTTTTCTTTTGAAGCAAATCAACATATGCTAAGTCACAGCACTTTTTGATCAGAGTTCCAAAATTGATTGCTAGCGTTGGTGATTCATAAATGTCGGTCTCTGGATTATATTGCGCCATCTTATTAACTGCTGCAATAATTAACTGAAAATGACATGGATGAAGAATGTCTATTAACTGTTTAATTTCAGCATTTTCTTTCTGAGCATGTTGCAAAAGTTTTGCCAATCTTCGCATATTTGTTCTTACTAAATCTAAATTTCCTTTACTCTGTCGTCCTTTTACGTAAGAATATGCGTACTTACATATTAATGGATCTTTTTTAGCGATAAGACCTATGTCGTCAGCACGCATTCTGGGAAATATTTTAGACTTGAGTAGTTCATCATGTTTAAATATAGAGCTTAAGAGTAATGTGGTTTGCCCATCACTCTGGGAAGTTTGCCTCTTTTTGGTGATATCATTGTCATGGTTCAATGAACATTTCTTAGTGCGTCTAAACAAACTTTTTTTCATGTAAAAGCCTAAACAATATTTACATGGAAGAAAATCATTGGAAGTCATTTTTTGGTTTGCTTGAAGTCTCTTAACTGGTCTTAATTTTGTGTCTACCCTATTTCTCAGAAAATTTGCTTGTTTTCTTAATGCTGATAAAGCGTGTCGTCTCTCTTTGGAATTTCTGTTAAAAGAAAGAATTCGTTGCACTTCAAATTCTTGTTCATGCGACTTAAACATATGCCTACTAAAATGAGAAACATCTTTCTCGCAGAAAGAGCAAAAGTCTCTCCGATCAGTATAATTTTTTCTTGAAACTGTTTCTACCATTTGCTGAAAAATTAATTAGAATTAAATATATCATGTTTATTGTTTGGCAGAATTATTGTGAAAAAGCATTTTTTTTAAATGAGAAGTACACATAGGTGTACGTTATCTAAAACTAAAAATAGGACCAACCATATAACAAGTAGATATACACAAGAGAGTTGAGAATTTTTAGTATCATTCAATTGTACTTGCTTGTAAAAGCTACAATAATGTATATTTATAATGTTGAGTCTTAGAAACAGCTATCTAGAATGGTTCTTTTTCAAACTGGTTATATATAGGGGGTAAGTCGGGAGGAACAGGCCAAACTTAGCGAGTGTATTCAATATAAGAAAAACACCCAAAAGTTATAATCAAATTTTTTTAAAAGTTTAGGTAGGCCTTAGCTGGCTAATAAATTTTTCAACAAAGAAAAACTATTACATTGTTTCTACGATTTGAAAATCGTCGATGATATTCTACAACGCGCTCCCATTGCAAAAGCTATAACAAACATCATATTTGCATATTCGAAATTAGAGTAAATATTGGGCATTATTTTAACACAGTCAAAAAATAGTGCACAATCAAATCAAACTACTGTTGGACGTAAGACAGATATATATTTTAAAAAAAATGGCACTTGTGCTAACCTACTTTTCTTTGTTAAAAAATTTGTTATCCTGCTAAGTCTACTTAAAACGCTGTAAATTTAAAATAAATAAAAATTGGATTATAACTTTTAGGTTTTTTTGTATTATATTAACGTGTAGAATGCATTCCCGGAGTTTGGCGTATTCCTCCCAACTCATCCTGTCTACCCTGCAGGAGGAAAAACATGGAAAAATAATCCTGAAACAATATGCAGGCTCAGGTTTGTCCCTGTGGCTCAGGATTGTTATTAAGTTTTACTATAGCTGGTTCAGGTTTGTAAGGATACCAAATATACAAAAATATAGTGTAGTATGTGAAATGAAAAATCTAAATAATATGAGTGGAAATAATATACAGGTTGTCCTATTTCAAACAATTATTAATAATTCGATTTATTTCCCCTGATTTATTAGAACACTCACCTCATCTCATGATCTGGTGAATAGTTCAGTTCCTGCTGAATTTAGAGTAACGGGAGCTTTTTGGGAAGATACATTAGCAGATATCTTGAAGAAAAAGTACATTTATATAAAATCTGATGTTTTAAAAGGGAAAAAATTAACCATTTACCTTACAATCGTGAGATAATATATCTGCCAACACCAAAGATATTTGTGGAACAACACCTATTTCGGAACTTTCTGTAGATAATTCACTATTTAAATGTGGATAACTTTCTCTAGATAATTCGCTATTTGACTGCAGAGAATACTACAAAAAGAAAATTAAAATTAAAATATGGATTCAATGATTGAGAACTATAAATTTAGTTTAAGCTTTTTATCACTAGCTATTTGCAATATTCTGTTATATGAGGAAAGAAAATACCAATGTACTTAATAAAGTCAATCATAACATTTACTTTTATCTATCAAGAGCTATTATTTATTTTTGTCAACATGCAAGTGAATATACATGTTTTGAAATTTATTAGGTGTATTTGGATTCATTAAAGAATACTTAGTATTTGATGAAATCCAAATAAAAATGCTTGGTCTGTGGTATTTATAATATCTGATAACGACACGAGGGAAATAAGCAATACAGTTATTTAAATTAAAAATTATGTTTTACTTAAATATCTCCAAAACAGAACCATTTTTGTAGAGAACACAATTTTAGATTAAAATATTCGTCTTTATGCATACACCATGCCATATCAAACACTATTTTCGGATGTCATCAAATATTGAGATCATCCTAATAATATAACACACCTAATGTGAATGGCATCTAAAGGCAGGCCGGTTTATTGATTACACTCAAACATTACTAATTTTAATTAGGTACTAATTTTAAAATATTTAAAAATTCAACTTACATTTAAATTTCCAAATAGATGACTAGGAGAATCAGGTTGATAATCTGGATCTGCTATAGAGTTATCATCATCTTCATTCTCCATTTCAGAATGGTAGGACTCACTTACGTAATTAGTTGAACTAGACTGGTAACTATTATTGTTTTCATCCCCAAAATTAGTTTTTAATTCTTCAGATATTTTCGAATTCCCAGTAGTACCTGTTGATGGCAGAGTGTCCTCCAGCCAGTTACTTTCGGATGTTTTTTTTAGTGGGAATAAGGTTGAGGATATTTTGAGGTCACCAGTCCAGTGGTGATACGTCATTTCTGATAATATTGATTGTTGAATATTGTTATTTTCTTTATTGTCTATTGTGTCAGTTAATGTTTCCTGTTCGGGTAAAACCTGACTTAAAACCTCATTTACTTGTATATTTTCTTTCTCCTTTAAAACTAAGCCTTCCTGGTATTTTGAATATAAACACCGAGGTTGAACTCCCAAAAGCCAATCTTGAATTAATTGTACTTTTTTAAATGACACCCTTGATGGTTTCTCATTCTCAGGTACGTTCAGTTCAGTATTTTCAACTGAATCATTAAAGGGGGTGGCAGAAGATAATAAATCTACATCTTTGTTAGCATTGCACAATGATGATTCTGTTACATAATAAAAAAATATTAAATAATAATAATAATAATAATAATAATAGTAATAGTAATAGTAATAGTAATAGTAATAGTAATAGTAATAGTAATAGTAATAGTAATAGTAATAGTAATAGTAATAGTAATAATAATAATAATAATAATAATAATAATAATAATAATAATAATAATAATAATAATAATAATAATAATAATAATAATAATAATAATAATAATAATAATAATAATAATAATAATAATAATAATAATAATTGCTCTTCCGAATGAATAAATAATAATAATAATAATAATAATAATAATAATAATAATAATAATAATAATAATAATAATATTAATATTGTTGAAGGCACATATTCATTGAAAATTGGCGAGCATAATTGGCAGTAATAAATAGTTTTCAAAGTTTAAAATAATAGGGCGGGCTGTCCCTAGACACGTCAACTAGAGAAGTAATTATTTAATGTTTAAGACGTCTTAAAGATTGTTTCTAAGATTACTAAAAATTCGAGCTCTCTGCTGATTAATCAGAAATAAACGTGACAACTAAAAATACTAACGACTATAGAGGATGTGGCACGAAGACCTTTTGTTAGACGTATGTAGGAAATTGGATATACATATTTGAATTCTGAAAATTTGTATTCTGGGGTTAGTCGAAATTTGCAGTTTAGTGATTTCTCAAAATTGGCCTCTTAATATTGACCACCCTGTACAATTTACAGAAATTATTTCCAATAACGGACATTCTATCTCATATAGGGAGCACTCATATCAAATTTGAATATACTAGCTAAAAAAACTTCTGGAGGTAGCGGGAATTATGTGTACAGGGCGATTCACTATATTTTGACCCCTCCCTTTAACTTTTTTGTTTTAAGAGTTATAAAAAAATGTGAAATACAAAAGTTGCACGATTTTTTATGAAGTTTTCGAAAATGATAGTAGAAAAACAAATGAAGTCCAAACAAAATGGCCACGGATGTTAACTTTGTTAATTTAAATGGAACACCCTGTATATTTTTTCATATTTGGATAATGTTCCCTGACGAGCATAGTCATATAGGGTTTGTTGGGTTCACCTCTAACAATAAGCGAGATAATATTAAAAAATTAAAATAAGGTTTTTTATTAAGAAAAGACATTTTGTAATTATTGTTAGACCTCTTTCAGGCGTTTATGCCTTTCCAATTACGTAAGGATTTAGATTTAGTTGTAATATATTTTGACATATCGGAAATTTTTTTTATAACTCCTAAAACAAAAAACTTAATGGGGGGTCAAAATATAATGAATCAGCCTGTACCTATGATTCCATAAAAATTATCGAAAAATTTTAAATAACTCGAAAATGCCTGACTTTAGATATAGGCACTGCTTATGAAACCTAAAATTTGTTATAGAATTGGAAAACGAAATAAAAAATATAGCATACCATTTGAAATAAAGAAGTTATTGACTACTTCCGGTATAACCGGAAGTACTACATCTAAGTCAATATATTCATTAAACTGCAAATTCCGACTAACCCCCGTATACAAATTTTCAGAATTCAGATATATTTAGTTTTCTACATAAGTCTTCGCGCCACACCCTGTATTACAGATGTAAAATATAACACAAGAAAAATTTGTAGAAACTGCAAAAACAACAGTGGGAGAAACAATTTACACACTGTACATTAACCTATGAAAATC